ACTGTAAAATAATCGATATAATATTTAATTCGTAAGAAATCTTTCGTATAGTATTAGAAATAAATGGTAGTAACCAAGCCCACCAAAATCAATATTATATGATAATACAACGTATTCTATAATACACATATATATTATTATATTCAAAATATTCCAATAATATAATATCGACAATATCCATAATTATATTTTATTARTATCAAAATATTTAAGCCGAACTTATTGCAATAAATTAATTTGACAGTAAAGTTTCCAAATCGATGGACAAATAAAATAATATAAAATGCATTAATATAATTGTTCATTTAAATATGAATGTATAATTTAGTTCACTTAATATACTTTTATTAGTGTTTTAAACGTGGGATCGTCATTAACCCTCRTAAACACAATTAGATTTAAAGTTGACAAGTCGTAAAAGTGCATATCATAATGAAATATTATACAGAATAGATCAAAGCCACGTAAATATTATGAGTTGTTATWTTATTGAGTGGGAGATTGGCTCTCCAATGCTCGTTAGTCATTATTGTTGTTTTTGATTTATTTCAATAAACGATGGGGGTCGGAGGAAAAGTATTGGCAACATAATAGTTCCTTTTCCGGTCCTCGGTACCATAAGAAAAAAAAAGATCAACGCCATACGCCATATGTATGTTAATTGTTTCGTTATAATTACGATTATACGACGTGACCTTTAACAGGAGTATAACAATTACCAGACTTTCATTTCAGTACCTGGCGCATTATCTTTTTGCAAATTGGACGAGTCGTAGTTGTWCAGCAAAGCAGTCACCTATACAGTATATCACGTAAGACGTAGGTACTAATACATACATTAAAAAAAAAAATTTGTAAGGAGAAACAAAAATCTATTTGCTCTTAGTTAATTTGAAGATCAGTATAGATAGTTTCAATTAATTAATAGGTAGTAATAAATCGATACTATATAAATTAAATAAAAGAGTCATTTCAGAATTAAGAAAAAGAAAAATGTATATAGGTAACCACAACGTTGAACAGTATTAGTCAATAGTGTACCTCGTCATTTGTTATAGATAATGTTAGTATTAAATTCGAATTCAATTAATTGTATAAGATAAAAAAAAAACTATACTCAACAAATACGGTATATTTTTATTTTATTTTATTACAATTATCTGAATATATATATACAGGGTGATTCTTTTATCAAACAACACTCATATGGTGTTTGTGTGTAAATACCACCTAACATACACCTATAACAGACAAACACCACCCAACTTTGGGAGGCTATATCTTGTAAACGAATTAACAAAAAATGAAAATTTAAACGTGAAAATTCATTGAAAAAATAGCCTTTTAGTTTTAGTTTGAATTTTTAAGTATATKTTTTCATTTGAAAATCAAAAGTTGATAATGGTTTACCGTTTACCTGATAAATAAAAGGTTTAAAATATTAATAAAATATATAGTTCTATAACAAGATAGGTAGATCTAAAATTTTGAAAAAAAAAATTGAAAAAAGTCAATAGTTTTTGAAATAATGAGTGTTGTTTGATAAAAGAATCACCCTATATATTCGTATTTGTTTTTTCAGTTTTTCCTGATTATTTTATTAAATATATACAATGTTCAGTTTTTTTTACCTCTTAAAAGTACCAATTAGATCCAATTTTCTACAAGGAACCTTAATCGAAATTTATGATCAGAGCATATTATATTATTTTCTACTAAAAAAAAACTCCATACACTTAGAATTGAAAAAATGTATTTACCTATTAGTTTTTTCTAATGAGTAACCGAAAACTATATATCAGTGTAATATATTATTATGCGTATTTTAACGAATTCCGATGTTATACAATATTACATGACTTGCTAAGTTTAATAAAAAAAATAAAAATAAATTATATAAAATATAATTACTTGTCTATATGTCTATATTACGTATACATTATGGGTATCTAAACCTTTAAGCATAATATTATGAATATTTAAAATAATTGTATTCCTACGAACATATAAATGGGATTTTCACACAAAACGACTACGTGACGGGATGATAGAATCATCATAAAACTATTTCGCTCAAAAATGTGACTTGGGTCCCTCTTAAAAAATTTACCAATTCGTGTGCTTTCCCAGTGGCGCCGTAATGGTCTTACGTACAGCAGCACACGTAAACACATAATATATAATATATTATTATTATGACTGCAATAAMCCGAAGACGACATTTACCTAAACTGCATGGCACATATAATCCAACCGCCATTGAGTTTACTACGTTTACCGAGTACCACTACATACCGATTATAGATTCATATTTTATTCATAAATGTATTACCATCGTATAATAACCATCCGTAAAACTATACCTACTTCGACACGGATCATATATGCGCGCATATAATGCAATATAAGTAAAACGGCTACTTTTGGCACCTCTGCGGTTTTCTCATTTGATTACCACGACCACCACGTTCACAATAATATTGYGTGACAATAATAATAATTATTACCGTTATTTTCACGTAGTTATGCAATAGTAGGTATACCTATATTACAATGGTATATACAACGAAATGAACTATAATTGTCGTTTGTTTGAAAATCGATCAATTAATGCGTTTGCGTATACAAGCTCTCTCACACACGCACACACATTCATATATTATGATGTTTAGGTAGGTGTTACTAGCACATAATATAATAAAGTGTGTTGATGTTACACCACGACCTGATTCTGCACCTGCAGCAACTAACCAAAATAATAATAACAAAAATGTATTGCTTTTTCGTAAATCGTACCTACACTGAACTTGGGTTCCACATAAAATACGATAATTGTCGTGATATCTTATCATTCATTACAATATTAGGCAGTTACTCTTATTATATCTGTGGTCACATATTATTATGCGATCCGAAATCGATTTGACGATGTTATACTTATTATAATAATAAATACGACGCAGTCGGGACCGCTTCTCGAGCTTATAAAATAATATATTATGTTTAATTTATGTGTATTTTTTTTCTTGATAAACACCATTCGTGCCTAATATAAATGCGAGCACTACTGCGATAGTGATAATTCGTTATCAAATGAAATATGCAAATCGAGTCGTATCTGCAATTGAATCACGTCACGGTGTATTATATTATACACGTCCGGTTCGTCGACGACAAGTGTTGTGAGCCGATAACGAGTACAAAATTTAAAATATGTTATAATATGCCACTTGGCCACATAAAAAGATACGCGGACGGTGTTTTGACCAAATTTCGTGAAAAAAAAATTACAACTTGAAATTATGGTTCTGTTTCTGTCTGCAGATAGTGTAGTAACTAGTAATTCAATAGGCATTTGAGTAGCGCTTCCGATGCGATTCACTGTGGTAGATTTATGGCGTACCATTATATTGACATATAGTAATACATTATCCATTGTTTAATAGAATATAACATCGCGGTTGTTGCACTATCAGGTAATTGAAAAAATATTATGTAATAGGCAAATATGGAAATAAAACGTTCAGAACTGCAGCCGAAACTATACTCTGTGAACAAAGCATACACATCGAGCAAAAACTGTTGTTGTACCACTGTACCAATAATTTTTACCCTCGTTTATTAATATTATTATTTTTGTTGGTAAAAAACATATTCATAAAACAATATTGTTCTGTAAACATAAAACAATACATATTACAATATWACGATAATGCGATTGAACGGCTATATGACATTTCATGTACTTATAGAAAAATATAACATAMAAAATGAAATACACATATATTCATTTTCACACATCAACGTTTCTGCATGATAAATATTGCGTACTTCGTACACCTATAAAACGTAAAAAGGCCACAGAAAATTAATAATTACATTACATTGTCACATGATGTCATTATATTATAAAGATATTGCATATCTTATTATACCTAGTGTTGTGAGTCTCATATAATTTAATATTATTTCACCAAAAATGTACAAAATTTTTTTTTTGTTCATTTTTATTTAGTTAAACACGATGCGTATAATATGCAATTATACGATTATAATCGATGATATATTGCACGCACATAACATGATACAACATTACGTCATATTATTAAGAGATCTGTGGAATAACAATAAGACAAGTCCATTTTCATCAGAAATCTTGCTAACTCCTTTTAAGAAATAATTGATAAAATAAAAAACTGTACGACTAACCTAACCCTCACAAGAACGAGACAGATCCAATAACCCATATAGGAAATATAATTTGCTTGGACCTGTCTATTTTTTTATTTACACGTGATAAACCAGCTGATGYCTCAAAAGTAATATTATAATGAATAYTAAATTCGGATAAAAATACAGAATAATCCAAATATTAAAATCGTTYTTTATTTTTTTTTTAAGTTTYAAAAAATGGAATAGTCTGGAGTTGTTTACTGACCCCTTTACATTTATTCAATAATCTTTAYATATTCTAACCACAGCTGKCACTCGTATAATAAATGCTATTACCTAACAATATAATTAACAATCATTGTTATTGATTTTAAAATTATTTAATCAAGTAAGTAGGTAGTAATTTCCGTACATTTTGATAAAGTTTACCGGCGAAATGCACAATGCACATCAGTAGGGACCTATTTGCCTCGTCCAACAACCGCGGCCTATAAAGTGTTGGTGGTTTTCGTTTAAATAATTTATGCACTTAAGTAACAATATACAATATGTAGTTTCATTGTTCCGGAAAACTTTGACTCCCACCCATGCAAGTCAACCGTTCATATGGGCACCTGTCTGTCAACGTTATACTGACCCCGCTTTGTGACGGCCAGCACGCGTCGAACATATTCAGCGAGTATGTGCCAGTTATTATTTGTATAGCACCGGGTCGGCGGGATCATGTGTGTGTGTGTGTAAGAATAGATTAATAACAATATAATATGATAATAATATGTAACAAAACCCATCGTCGTCGGTACATTTGAACAAACACGTCGGGTCGAATGCGCGTGCGCGTGTACGCACACACGTCGAAGTCAACGCGCGTTAAACACAGTGTAGTATCGTCGTTAAACGGTGGTTCGACGCGTACATAATTATATTTTATTATTTTAACGTCATAAAACGGCCAAAACTGTTATAGTATTAACATTAAAATAAATTATTACCAAGCGATTGAGTAATATTATCATGCTGGTACCCGGCGAATTTCATACTACTACCCGTGGGTCACCGACTCCGTCTCCCTTGCAGCAGTCGTGCCAGTGACGACGACCATCCCCGCGGGCATCCATCACCCGACACAACCATCTGCCGACTTGTCGGACTCGGTGAAATGATGACCGCCACCCGATATTTTACCGTGGACTCGGTGGTCCAACCGGTACAGCCGGCAGCTTCCACCACAGCCGCCGACTCTTCAACGACTGCAGACTCGTCCACCGAAGTTCCGAGCCTAGGTCGCGATGGTATCGTGCAGGTCGTGGTCGGATATCACCACAACCGTGACCAAACCGCCACCACGACCACGTCCACGTCTCCGATCCAGCCGGTCGCGGACGATCAACCGACGACCGTCCAACACCTTYCTGTAAGTACCTACATAAATCTACGCTGCATGTGTGCATCACATTCATAGGTAGTCACCTCAACTCTGATGGCACAAAAGAAGCCAATGGTTAAGCCAAAGGGATACTTGTCGATCTGAATATTTTATACCCAAAAAGAATTATTAGACTTAAGTTGTCCGACATACCAACCGAAAGCATTTTTTTCTCTACACGTTTATGTGTTTATAATATTATCATTATTTTGTATTAAAAACAGTCAAAGTCACAATAGACTGATAGTTTTTTAACACTTAATATTTTTAGTATTCACAATTTATTGATTTATAACTACTGTAATAYTATGAATAATTTATAATTACAATTTATTACAACTATTGTTATCATTTTTAAACTAAGACTATCACGCTACGTAATACGTACCTACCTATCGTAAGATGTCCGAGCATGTTCAACGTGGTTCGCCATATTCTTTACTATCTTGTTAGTTAAGTTAGTGTAAGGTTTAGACGGTTTAGTAATATTTAATTTTTTTTTTAAATCACATCTTATTAATTGTAATCAACTTGACGAATCGATTTTCACGTACATCCACGGAAAGGCACCAGCTGAATCAATAGATAAGATAGCATAGAGCCCCGACAACTGCACAATATTATATCTACTCAAATATTACAGTATGTATATCGTATAAATAATTAGATATGTTAATCATTARACGTATTTTCGTCGTAATACATTTATTATTGGTATTATAACGAGACGTTTTACGTGTGCCACTCCATAAACTCTGTGGTAATTACGTTAAATACCTGAACTAATGTTGAAATGCTCTAAAACATACGTTACGACTGGATCATCGACATTTAATTTAGTTGGAACATAATTATTTCCATAAACATATTAACTAGATTACTAGAACAAACCTAACCTTCGACAATAACGGATGAATTACTCGAAGATTGTTAGTCATTAATTAACATGAAGATAAAATTATGCTTAGGTACTTAGTACTTTTGGTGAAAGATTAACTAAATATTACCAACAATGGTAATATATATTATAAATAAGTCAAAATGTCTAAGCCAATAAGAAATATACCAAGGGGTACGTGATACAATATAATAGAATAGAAATTGCATGAATGTGCCATCTATAATATTCTATGATTTAGTTATTAATCCAATGCAATGTACGATTTCAATATAAATACATATTTTAATATTTGAAAATAATATAAATTTTCACTGATAGAAATTTTAAGTTATTTAATATTTTAACTACAACGAGTGTCAATGTTAAAATATCTATACATTGGAACGTCATTTATGCACTAAGGTTCATTTGTGGTTGCTGTAACATGTATTTATAATTGCAACACATTACATTATTGCACCTACCTAATATGTCATTAATTGCTGTTAACATATAACGCCAAATTATTTTGAATCAACATAATTCTGTTGAAATTAAAAATATATTATTGTGTTTAAAACAAAATTTTTGCGATACCAATATAATAATATAATATAGGTGTTAATAGTGAATTGAAGTGTTGAATTATCTACTATAAATCTATCTGAACGACTTTGGAATATGTTTTCTATATACCATTATTTATATAATATTTAATATCGTTAAAATAGTTGTAAATCGAAATCGTAGTACAGAAATAAATTTACAAACATCTAATACCACAGGTTGTTTTATAAACGTTTAAAGTTTAGGTTATCGATTTTTATTAGGTTCTATATATGTTTCCCAAATTAACGCGACCGTGTTCAACAGAATTTTCGTAATTGCTTTTCAGTTTTACCGTTTCAATACAAGGTTTACTTGCTCGTATTGTCATATGAGTTTTATTTATTATTTTTATTGATACATTTTTTACTACCCAAAATCCATAGGGTAATGTGTTCACCGGAATTCGTCTCAGCACGAGAACGCGTATTATTCGATTTATTCGAATCGGCCACCTCTAGAACAATATAATATATTTATGCATATTTTTTCCGTCTATACATTTATGAGAAGAACGTCGAATAATATTATTAATAATACGTACGATGCTAATACGCATTTCACAATTATTATTGTGTCTGCGTGTCTTAAATAAGTGATATTAGATTTAGTAGGTATTTGAATATAGTAAATGTGTAACGGCGCAACGATGAGAAAACAAAATGAAACAATTTTTGGTTTTTATATTAAAGTTGTTTTTTTAAAGGTGCCAATTCCCGACAGATATTATTATTTGGTGAAAATACAAATAATATAGCCGAAGAAACATAATCGCTCAACTTTTAGGAAGCGCGCCACGCTCCTCTTCCCGAAAGTAGAAATTTCTCAAATCTAATAATATGTAAGCTTATATATTACACACGTTTTCGGTTACCCCCTTGCATCCCCCCCCCAACACAATTTAATTATTCAAGTTCAGATGTTTCTACTGGCAACGCGGATTTACTCGAACGTTTCTTGTTTATTTTTTTAATCAAATAACTTAATACGTGTAGTTACTTAATTACTGTATAATAATATGTACGAGAYATTAAATTAAAAATTGTCGGCATTTTTTTTTTAATTTATGCAAATCCTCATAATAACATGTCACACCAACACCGTGGCCCAAATACGTTTATTCGGTTGCAATGAAAAATATATTGTGAACATCAAAATGTCAATATGTCTGACAAACAGTCATGTTATAAGAAATAATCTAACAAGTTTTCAATCCAAATATGTTTACAGAATAATATTCTTTAGGGTACGCTCGCTGCTWATCAATAATATAACTCCCACAAACACTATTTACAATGTTTTGTTACAACTTGATTAAATTCCTTCAACGAATATTAGAAATTTAAAATTTACAACAACACAAGACTTTTATGATATATACTATAATAGTTAGTAAAAATACCACGTTGTCTGTGATATGCAATCAACAAAATATATAGTATAATTATTATTTAGTCATATTAATGATTCCGGTTAAAAATTGTTATAAAACTTTATGCGTTAACATTAGACGTCTAAAAGTATAATAATGTTCTTCAATGTGTGTATAAATACTAATAATATAATAACTAATAAGA